TTGAATCTATGGTGCAGTGCTGAGTCTATGGTGCAGTGTTTAGTCTATGGGTAGTGTTGAGTCTGTGGGTAGTGTTGAGTCTATGAGTAGTGTTAGTCTATGGGGCAGTGCTGAGTCTATGGTGCTGTGTTGAGTCTATGGTGCAGTGTTGAGTCTGTGGTGTAGCAGTGTTGAGTCTGTGGTGTAGCAGTGCTGAGTCTATGGTGTAGCAGTGCTGAGTCTATGGTGTAGCAGTGCTGAGTCTATGGTGTAGCAGTACTGAGTCTATGGTGTAGCAGTGTTGAGTCTATGGTGTAGCAGTGTTGAGTCTATGGTGTAGCAGTGCTGAGTCTGTGGTGGAGCAGTGCTGAGTCTATGGTGTAGCAGTGCTGAGTCTATGGTGCAGTGTGGAGTCTGTGGTGTAGCAGTGCTGAGTCTATGGTGTAGCAGTGCTGAGTCTATGGTGTAGCAGTGCTGAGTCTATGGTGTAGCAGTGTTGAGTCTGTGGTGTAGCAGTGCTGAGTCTATGGTGTAGCAGTGTTGAGTCTGTGGTGTAGCAGTGCTGAGTCTATGGTGTAGCAGTGTTGAGTCTGTGGTGTAGCAGTGCTGAGTCTATGGTGTAGCAGTTTTGAGTCTATGGTGTAGCAGTGCTGAGTCTATGGTGTAGCAGTGTTGAGTCTGTGGTGTAGCAGTGCTGAGTCTATGGTGTAGCAGTGTTGAGTCTGTGCTGTAGCAGTGCTGAGTCTGTGGTGTAGCAGTGTTGAGTCTATGGTGTAGCAGTGCTGAGTCTGTGGTGTAGCAGTGCTGAGTCTATGGTGTAGCAGTGCTGAGTCTGTGGTGTAGCAGTGTTGAGTCTATGGTGTAGCAGTGTTGAGTATATGGTGTAGTGTTGAGTCTATGGTGCAGTGTTGAGTCTATGGTGCAGTGTTGAATCTATGGTGCAGTGCTGAGTCTATGGTGCAGTGTTTAGTCTATGGGTAGTGTTGAGTCTGTGGGTAGTGTTGAGTCTATGAGTAGTGTTAGTCTATGGGGCAGTGCTGAGTCTATGGTGCTGTGTTGAGTCTATGGTGCAGTGTTGAGTCTATGGTGCAGTGCTGAGTCTATGGTTCAGTGTTGAGTCTATGGTGCAGTGTTGAGACTATGGTGCAGTGTTGAGTCTATGGGCAGTGCTGAGTCTATGGTGCAGTGTTGAGTCTATGGTGCAGTGTTGAGTCTATTGTGTAGCGCTGAGTCTATGGTGCAGTGCTGAGTCTATGGTGCAGTGTTGAGTCTATGGTGTAGCAGTGCTGAGTCTATGGTATAGCAGTGTTGAGTCTATGGTGCAGTGCTGAGTCTATGGTGCAGTGTTGAGTCTGTGGTGTAGCAGTGTTGAGTCTGTGGTGTAGCAGTGCTGAGTCTATGGTGTAGCAGTGCTGAGTCTATGGTGTAGCAGTGCTGAGTCTATGGTGTAGCAGTACTGAGTCTATGGTGTAGCAGTGTTGAGTCTATGGTGTAGCAGTGTTGAGTCTATGGTGTAGCAGTGCTGAGTCTGTGGTGTAGCAGTGCTGAGTCTATGGTGTAGCAGTGCTGAGTCTATGGTGCAGCAGTGCTGAGTCTATGGTGTAGCAGTGCTGAGTCTATGGTGTAGCAGTGCTGAGTCTATGGTGTAGCAGTGTTGAGTCTATGGTGTAGCAGTGCTGAGTCTATGGTGTAGCAGTGTTGAGTCTGTGGTGTAGCAGTGCTGAGTCTATGGTGTAGCAGTGTTGAGTCTGTGGTGTAGCAGTGCTGAGTCTATGGTGTAGCAGTGTTGAGTCTATGGTGTAGCAGTGCTGAGTCTATGGTGTAGCAGTGTTGAGTCTGTGGTGTAGCAGTGCTGAGTCTATGGTGTAGCAGTGTTGAGTCTGTGCTGTAGCAGTGCTGAGTCTATGGTGTAGCAGTGTTGAGTCTGTGGTGTAGCAGTGCTGAGTCTATGGTGTAGCAGTGTTGAGTCTGTGGTGTAGCAGTGCTGAGTCTATGGTGTAGCAGTGTTGAGTCTATGGTGTAGCAGTGCTGAGTCTATGGTGTAGCAGTGTTGAGTCTGTGGTGTAGCAGTGCTGAGTCTATGGTGTAGCAGTGTTGAGTCTGTGGTGTAGCAGTGCTGAGTCTATGGTGTAGCAGTGTTGAGTCTATGGTGTGGCAGTGCTGAGTCTATGGTGTAGCAGTGCTGAGTCTGTGGTGTAGCAGTGCTGAGTCTGTGGTGTAGCAGTGTTGAGTCTATGGTGTAGCAGTGCTGAGTCTGTGGTGTAGCAGTGCTGAGTCTATGGTGTAGCAGTGCTGAGTCTGTGGTGTAGCAGTGTTGAGTCTATGGTGTAGCAGTGCTGAGTCTGTGGTGTAGCAGTGCTGAGTCTATGGTGTAGCAGTGCTGAGTCTATGGTGTAGCAGTGTTGAGTCTGTGGTGTAGCAGTGCTGAGTCTATGGTGTAGCAGTGTTGAGTCTGTGGTGTAGCAGTGCTGAGTCTATGGTGTAGCAGTGTTGAGTCTATGGTGCTGTGTTGAGTCTATGGTGCAGTGTTGAGTCTATGGTGCAGTGCTGAGTCTATGGTGCAGTGTTGAGTCTATGGTATAGTGTTGAGTCTATGGTGCAGTGCTGAGTCTATGTTGCAGTGCTCAGTCTATGGTGCAGTGCTGAGTCTATGGTGTAGCAGTGTTGAGTATATGGTGTAGTGTTGAGTCTATGGTGCAGTGTTGAGTCTATGGTGCAGTGTTGAATCTATGGTGCAGTGCTGAGTCTATGGTGCAGTGTTTAGTCTATGGGTAGTGTTGAGTCTGTGGGTAGTGTTGAGTCTATGAGTAGTGTTAGTCTATGGGGCAGTGCTGAGTCTATGGTGCTGTGTTGAGTCTATGGTGCAGTGTTGAGTCTATGGTGCTGTGTTGAGTCTATGGTGCAGTGTTGAGTCTATGGTGCAGTGTTGAGACTATGGTGCAGTGTTGAGTCTATGGGCAGTGCTGAGTCTATGGTGCAGTGTTGAGTCTATGGTGCAGTGTTGAGTCTATTGTGTAGCGCTGAGTCTATGGTGCAGTGCTGAGTCTATGGTGCAGTGTTGAGTCTATGGTGTAGCAGTGCTGAGTCTATGGTATAGCAGTGCTGAGTCTATGGTGTAGCAGTGTTGAGTCTATGGTGCAGTGCTGAGTCTATGGTGCAGTGCTGAGTCTATGGTGTAGCAGTGCTGAGTCTATGGTATAGCAGTGTTGAGTCTATGGTGCAGTGCTGAGTCTATGGTGCAGTGCTGAGTCTATGGTGTAGCAGTGCTGAGTCTATGGTATAGCAGTGTTGAGTCTATGGTGCAGTGCTGAGTCTATGGTGCAGTGTTGAGTCTGTGGTGTAGCAGTGTTGAGTCTGTGGTGTAGCAGTGCTGAGTCTATGGTGTAGCAGTGCTGAGTCTATGGTGTAGCAGTGCTGAGTCTATGGTGTAGCAGTACTGAGTCTATGGTGTAGCAGTGTTGAGTCTATGGTGTAGCAGTGTTGAGTCTATGGTGTAGCAGTGCTGAGTCTGTGGTGTAGCAGTGCTGAGTCTATGGTGTAGCAGTGCTGAGTCTATGGTGCAGTGTGGAGTCTGTGGTGTAGCAGTGCTGAGTCTATGGTGTAGCAGTGCTGAGTCTATGGTGTAGCAGTGCTGAGTCTATGGTGTAGCAGTGTTGAGTCTGTGGTGTACCAGCGCTGAGTCTATGGTGTAGCAGTGTTGAGTCTGTGGTATAGCAGTGCTGAGTCTATGGTGTAGCAGTGTTGAGTCTATGGTGTAGCAGTGCTGAGTCTATGGTGTAGCAGTGTTGAGTCTGTGGTGTAGCAGTGCTGAGTCTATGGTGTAGCAGTGTTGAGTCTATGGTGTAGCAGTGCTGAGTCTATGGTGTAGCAGTGTTGAGTCTGTGGTGTAGCAGTGCTGAGTCTATGGTGTAGCAGTGTTGAGTCTGTGGTGTAGCAGTGCTGAGTCTATGGTGTAGCAGTGTTGAGTCTATGGTGTAGCAGTGCTGAGTCTGTGGTGTACCAGTGCTGAGTCTATGGTGTAGCAATGCTGAGTCTGTGGTGTAGCAGTGCTGAGTCTATGGTGTAGCAGTGCTGAGTCTGTGGTGTAGCAGTGTTGAGTCTATGGTGTAGCAGTGCTGAGTCTGTGGTGTAGCAGTGCTGAGTCTGTGGTGTAGCAGTGTTGAGTCTATGGTGTAGCAGTGTTGAGTCTATGGTGTACTAGTGCTGAGTCTATGGTGTAGCAGTGTTGAGTCTGTGGTGTAGCAGTGCTGAGTCTATGGTGTAGCAGTGCTGAGTCTATGGTGCAGCAGTGCTGAGTCTATGGTGTAGCGGTGCTGAGTCTATGGTGTAGCAGTGCTGAGTCTATGGTGTAGCAGTGCTGAGTCTGTGGTGTAGCAGTGTTGAGTCTATGGTGTAGCAGTGTTGAGTCTGTGGTGTAGCAGTGCTGAATCTATGGTGTAGCAGTGCTGAGTCTATGGTGTAGCAGTGTTGAGTCTATGGTGTGGCAGTGTTGAGTCTATGGTGTAGCAGTGCTGAGTCTATGGTGTAGCAGTGCTGAGTCTGTGGTGTAGCAGTGCTGAGTCTATGGTGTAGCAGGGCTGAGTCTATGGTGTAGCAGTGCTGAGGCTATGGTGTAGCAGTGCTGAGTCTGTGGTGTAGCAGTGTGTAGTAAACATCGCCACTGGGGGATGTGCTCCTGGCCACTACCAACACTGCACTTGCCCCCCTACAGCCTCTGGTTGGAGGCTACCAGGGTGACCTTTATCTGTGTGTGGGTAGCACCTAGGAAGACAAAGGCGGCCGTGCCGGCCTTCTGTTGCGACTAACCAACACTGCACTTGCCCCTACAGCCGTTTCGGAGGCTACCTGGGGGACCTTTATCTTTGTGGGGTAAAATGTGGGTAACCGTCCTGACCCCCACTCCCCCTCCCCTCGAGCCCCTCCACCCCCTAGCCCCGCCACCCCTGAGCACCTCCCCCTCCACCCCCTAGCCCCTCCCCCTCCTAGCCCCCCCAGCACCCACAGCCCCCACCCGCACTCACCTGGGGCGCGCGCGAGCGGCTCTGTCACCTCCTGTCCCTCGCGATCCGATTCCCGGATCGAGACGCGCGCGTATTATAATACGTCGATTCTCGCCACGCACCACGCTCCTCCCCCTCATCTTCCTTCGGATAACACGGAATCGGAATCGCATCGATTTAAAAAGATAGTAACCCGACACGAAAGAATCGATTCGGCCGGATGCGATTCTAAAATCGTAAACGATTAACCGAATGCGACGATGTCTAGAATCTGAATCGATTCAAGCGGTCCCTGGGTCTCCTCTACGTCGACTCGGCCCCAAATGACCCTGCAGGTGAGTTGACTGCAGTGCCAGGCTAGGTGCACGAGGTCACGTGACAGACCTTACAGGTGAGTTGGCTGCTGTGCCAGGCTAGGTGCACGAGGTCACGTGACAGACCCTACAGGTGAGTTGACTGCTGTGCCAGGGTAGGTGCACGAGAAGGAGGTCGTGTGACAGACCCTACAGGTGAGTTAACTGCTGTGCCAGGCTAGGTGCACGAGGAGGTCACGTGACAGACCCTACAGGTGAGTTGACTGCTGTGCCAGGCTAGGTACACGAGGAGGTCACGTGACAGACTCTACAGGTGAGTTGGCTGCTGTGCCAGGCTAGGCGCACGAGGAGGTCACGTGACAGACCCTACAGGTGAGTTGACTGCTGTGCCAGGCTAGGTGCACGAGGAGGTCACGTGACAGACCCTGCAGGTGAGTTGGCTGCTGTGCCAGGCTAGGTGCACGAGGTCACGTGACAGACCCTACAGGTGAGTTCGGGGCCGTCCATAAATGACGTCACGCACCTTTGGGGGGGGGGGGGGTCAGACATTCGTGACGAGGGGGGGAGGGGGGGTTTGAGAAATGTGACGTCACATCAACTTTAAATAAATATATACAACACGTTCTACTTAACCAAATATAATTGTTATAACAACACTAATTTTGATAAATTTTTATTCACTTTTTGATTATTTACATTTATTAAGGTCACCTTTTATTTTTTGTGTAGGTTATATTATAATGTTAAACTTAAGAACCGGAAGTCAAATTACGTCACACTTTTATAGAGGATAATACTTCGTCAGGAGGGAGTGCAAATAAAAAATAATGTAGTCGTTATATTAAAAACGCTTGATAGTTTCGAATAAGAATTTTAAAAACGTAAGCACTATTATTCTTGTCACATCAATCGACAGAATTTTGAAATCACGCATTTTTTTAAATTCAACATACATTTTTAAGATCCGTATTTAATTGTTATGCTATTATGTTACGACAACATTTATAATATATAGAGAAAAAAGTTTTTGGGTAGAAAGATATCAAACAGCCATTTTTGAGCATCGATGGATCATGAATAATGGAGTACCTACTAAATATACATCACTCTGCAAGGAGTACAATAGCCAACGCGTCCTCTATGATTCATTATTCCTCCATGAAATTTGAGTTCTTTGTACCCAGACAATGACGTCATTCTTCTTTTCGCCATTGTCCGACTATGAACCATGAGTGACTGAATTTAACATTCTAGGATCTTTGATTTAACTACGGAGTTCCCTTGTGGAAATGAAAAAAAATTACAACCGCTCACGATTCAGTATATCGTGTGCACGATTTAGTATTTTATGCGCAAAAAAATAATTAATTCTGCACAAGAACTAATCATTCGCACAAATAAAATAAATTGCGCGTATGATTAAAATGTAGTTTTTTGACATGTTTCTATAAAGGTGCTCTGTACTAGCTAATTTTTAAAAAAAATATTTCGTATCAGTTTCAGTTTGAGTTAATTGAGTCATCATAGTAATCAAATAATCACAGAATAGCTAATCAAAGAATTAATTAATTTAACGCTATTTTAAATATTCAAGCTGGTCATTACTTTAAACTCAAATCATAATTTAAATCTTGATTTGAAGCTTTCGTGACTGCAGGAATCCATACTCTGTGGTTTTTTCGGTAAAGTCACGTAGGTATAAAATAAAATAATTCACGACGTTTTGGGCGCAACACAAGCGTCCATCATCAGGTGGGAAAGCATGGTCTGCTGCTGAGGCAGACTGTTTTAAAAGGTTTGAAATGGGTGTAGCCCAAGGGTCATAAAGAAGTGGCCGGGGCTAGTGATGTTAATGTGAGAAATTAGCATGTAACTGTAAAATCGAAGTGTGGTGCAATCCACCAAAGGCATGAGTGCAACCCAACGGGTGCAATCCAAAGGGCATGTGAGCATGAGAGTGCAATCCAAAGGCATGAGAGTGCAATGCAAAGGACATGTGAGCATGAAAGTTCTAAGAGAGAGGCATAGAGAGACAGAGAGTCGGAAATAACAGCTGACATAGGCAGGTAAGATGGAAACATCACAGTCAGTTAAGACTTTACCTGGTTAATAACGTCCTTCCAATGATTATTCAGTTTGTACCCATCCTCTCGGTTGAAGTTGTGTTTATATATCTGGATGCCTTCATGAACAAAGCCGGTAGGTTTGCAGAGTACCTTCGTCTTGGAAAGATCAATTTCGTGTGAATCCACAGCGTTAAAACAATGATCGGCAACGGCAGAGGTATTGGTCCTACCGTGTTTCAGATCTGCCTTATGTTCACGAACGCGGTCCGAGACATGTCGTTTTGTTTACCCAATGTAACTGCTGCCGCAACCACAACTCAGTTTGTAGAGACCAGGGTATTGCATGTCAGGAATCACATCCTTTACAGATGGGATTGTCTATTTCAGGAATATTTTTATATTTTTTTCCTGTATTTTCTGTTTGCACAGTCACATAATCACTTTAAGATGTTTTCTTGTTCATGTTTTTTGTTTGTTGCGGTTGCACCCGATTCAAGAGCCGAATGGCTCACAGGGCTATACCAAATAAATGAACTATGAACTATGAACTAAGTCACGGATTTTGTGTACTGTGTTGAAACGAACCTGGATCTTGTGTTTGTTTAAGATTTTGGAAATCTTTTTGGTAACCCCTGCTATGTACGGTAAAGTGATGGTTTTGGTTGGATCCTCAGAAGGTTGTTTCCGCATGGCTGGGGAGACAGCTTTGCGGATTGTACGGTCCGAGTATCCATTCAACCTGAGGGCTTGGTGTACGTGCTCCAACTCACTGGCTAGGTGGTGCTGGTCGGAGATGCAACGGGCCCTATGGTGTAGTGTTTTGATGAGGGAATTCTTCTGGGCTGGATGGTGGTGGGAGTCAGGCTTTAGATAGGCATCCGTGTGGGTGGCTTTCTTGTAGACCGAATGTCCCAACGAGCCATCAGGTCTCTTCTCAATCAAAACATCCAGGAATGGTAGCTTACCATCCTTTTCCACTTCCATGGTGAATTTGATGGATGGGTGTATGGAATTGATGTTGTTGAGAAATTGGTTCAGTGCGGGCAGGCCATGTGGCCAGATGACGAACGTGTCATCCACGTATCTCTTACACAAGGAAGGACGTAGGGTGGATGTCTGGATGGCATCTGTTTCAAATTTCTCCATGAAAAGAGTCGCTACCACTTGCGATAAGGGAGAACCCATTGGGGTACCCTCATTTTGTTTGTAGAATGTACCATTCCAAGTCAAGTATGTGTTGGTAAGACAGTGCCTTACCAAAGTTGGTACATCTGGATTCAATTATTGCAATGGTGTCAGATACAGGTACATTTGTGAACAGAGAGACTACATCGAAACTGACAAGCAATTCATCTGGAAACGTGAGATGTCCTTGATTAGAGAAACCAAGTGAGCTACGTTAAGTACAGCTGAGGTGGTATTGCCCGTGAAAGGAAGCAGAGTCTCAGAAAGAAATCGGGCCAGTTTGTAGGTGGGTGAGTTAATGGTGGAGACGATAGGACGGAGCGGGGTACCTACTTTGTGGATTTTTGGAAGGCCATAAAATCTGGGTGGTCTAGCAGCCGAAGGTTTTAGGGAGCTCTGCTTGGACTGATCAATTAGAGAAGTCGATTTAGTGATGATATTGTTGTTTTTTGTACCTAGGCGGTTGGTGTCAGTGGTTTTATCCATGATCACAGTGGCATTGTCCTTGTCGGCTGAGAGGATGACAATGTCATTTTTTTTATTTAGATAAAAACGCTCATCCTTACTGATGTTGCTAATGGGTTTCTTAGCGTTCTTGAGGATAGCAGCGATTTCAGATCTAGCAACGTCTGCCGGGATGTGTCCCAAGCCTTGAGGGCTACGTCGACCTGGGCAATGATATCATCCACCGGGATGTGTCCGGGATGTGTTTAGGGGTGACTGCGAAATTCAACCCTTTGGCTAGTACTGATTTTAGGCTGTTGGAAATCGGGATGTTACTGTGATTGATGACAATCTTTTTAACGTGTTACTATGATTGATGACAATCTTGTTAACATGTTACTGTGATTGATGACAATCTTGTTAACATGTTACTGTGATTGATGACAATCTTGTTAACGTGTTACTATGATTGATGACAATCTTGTTAACGTGTTACTATGATTGATGACAATCTTGTTAACGTGTTACTATGATTGATGACAATCTTAACATGTTACTGTGATTGATGACAATCTTGTTAACGTGTTACTATGATTGATGACAATCTTGTTAACATGTTACTATGATTGATGACAATCTTGTTAACATGTTACTATTGTTGAGGCGGAAATGATGACTCGGAGGCAGATCTTCTGGTAGGGTCTTGCGCCAGTTGTTTTATTAAAGACTTTTCTTCACACACGACTCCGTGTACTGCATACTCACTGCCTACACTCCACACCCCAGGGGAAAGGTACTGGGGAGGTCCCTAGCACACCCACAGGCTACCCTAGTCTGGTGCCAATTTCCCCCTACCCCGGGGTCCCATCGCTCCCCCGGGGGAAGGGTACTGGGGAGGTCCCTAGCACACCCACAGGCTACCCTAGCCTGGTGCCAATTTCCCCCTACCCTGAGTCCCGACTTCCACCCTTCACGTTCCCGGACTCTCCAGACGACCCTGAACCCGTGCCAGGTTCCAGCTTGATCCCCCAGGGGGACATTATGTCACCGTTCGCCCCCTGTGC